AAAAAAAAATTTTTATTTTTTTTTAAATTTTTTTTTTAGGTTTTTTTTAATTTTCTCAAACTTTTTTTTTTTTTTTTTTTTCTTTTTTTTTTTTTTTACAGAGTAGCTTGGTAGCAAATCAGACTTTAACGCTGAACTGGTTCATGACAAATCAGACAGGTGACAATCTTTAAGTTTCAATCTTGATAAAACCATTAAAATAATATCCGCCTCACAATCACCTGACAGATTACAGCAGCGCACTGAACCAACATGCTCTGTTAAATTCCGGTAAAGTTTGTGATTAAAATAAAATGGTAAATACTGCTGGATGTTAACCATTATTAAGCATTACATTTACAAGCTACACTATAATATGTTTTAATAATTTCATTGACAAATATTTCACTTTTTTGTGTGATTTAGTAATAAGTTGGGCGTTAGTATTAGCAACATTTTAACTACACCTCTTTTTTTTGTCAATAACAAATATGAATCTGTAGTTTTATTATTATCGTCATTTATAACACAGCCCTGCCGGACGGGTCACTGTGAGCGGTTTTCTAGAGCAACATAAGGAGCAAAAAAAATTATATTTTTAACGTGCCACCTAGAATGCTTCGTTAAAAAGATAGATTGTCTTTCATCGCTAATATTTTTTTGCAGTTTCCACAAATTCTGATTTCTAGCGCAACTCTTCATCCAGACACGCCGTTTTTTGATTAAAAGTGGCACGCCATTAAACAAAATATATAAATAATAATAATAATAATAATAATCAGATGTATCGGTGTGTGGTGTTTTTCCTAAAATAAATTAAAAAAAAAAAACAGGAACAACCTGACAAATGCGCACTTTACGCAATGCGCAAGATTTATGCGATAAAGTCATTCCTTTCTTTCATCTTTTTTTCCCCCCTTTTTCCACAAAGAAAAAATGTTAAGGCAGCACCGCGAGGCGTTAACGGGCATCTTAATTGCATCATTATCGGATAAATTTATTATGAGGGCGGATGTGGATTAGAAATTAGACGGGGACATTAATCATACTTCTGTGGCGGCCATCCGTAGGGGTTTTGCCTTTCTTCTCAGAACAGCTTGTCAGCTGCAGTTTGTGTGAGGCGGGCTCATGGTGGACGTTTGAAAAACAAGAAAAAGAGAGAGAGAAGGCCTCTGTGGGAGAACGTGACCCCCCCCCCCACAACCCCCTCAACACACACACATACACACACACCACCTCTCTCTGAACACTGTACACTCTAAGTGAATCTGACTGCAATTATTTTCTTCTTTTCTCCTTGCAGACAATCTTTTGCACTCTCCTCTGAGAAGACAGAAGTATCTGTTTGATGTCTCAACCCTGTCCGAGAAAGAGGAGCTGGTCGGAGCCGAATTAAGGATATTTAGGAAAGCTTTGGGGGCCCCTCAGGCGGCGGGGCCCTTCCACCTCCAGCTCTACCCGTGCCGCTCCGACAAGCCGCTGGACTCCAGGTCTCTGGACGCCGCTGACTCCGCAGAGACCGGCGGCTGGGAGGTTCTGGACGTGTGGGACGCGTTTCGGACGCAGCGCCAGCACAGAAGCCAGCTCTGCTTCCAGCTCCGGGCCGTGCACGGCAAGTCCGACGCCGAGGTGGACCTGAGGCGGCTGGGCCTCGACAGGAGCGGCCGCGGACAGCAGGAGAAGGCCATCCTGGTGGCCTACACCCGCTCCAGGAAGAGGGAGAACCTGTTCAACGAGATGAAGGAGAAGATCAAGTCGCGGCGCTCGGCGGAGGAGAAGCCGGCGAGAGCCGAGGGCCTGGGCGAGGGCCCCCCGCGGCGGCGGCGGAGGACGGCGCCGAACAACCGGCACGGGAAGCGGCACGGGAAGAAGTCCAAGTACAGGTGCAGCAAAAAGGCCCTGCACGTGAACTTCAAGGAGCTGGGCTGGGACGACTGGATCATCGCCCCGCTGGGCTACGAGGCCTACCACTGCGAGGGCGTGTGCGACTTCCCGCTGCGCTCGCACCTGGAGCCCACCAACCACGCCATCATCCAGACCCTCATGAACTCCATGGACCCCAACAGCACCCCGCCCAGCTGCTGCGTGCCCACCAAGCTCAGCCCCATCAGCATCCTGTTCACGGACTCAGGCAACAACGTGGTGTACAAACAGTACGAGGAGATGGTGGTGGAGCAGTGCGGCTGCAGGTAGCGGCGTGTTGGTGTCATAAATAAAACAACGGAGGAAAAACGAAAAGACAGATTTTGTTCAAGCCGAAGTGCTGACGGCTCCGTGGACGTGAACAGATCAGCTCCTCACAGGGTCTGGAGCGTTTTAATCCAAATGAAGGGATGCGCTCACAGGAAGCGCATCCCGTCCACCTCCACCTCCACCCTACTTCAGTTTTATTTATTCAAACTGATTAACACTAAAAGCGTCCAGCACATTTATTCTCATCCACGCAGAGACCTTTAAAAAAAACCGTATCAAGCGGAATGTCCAGGAGGTTTTGGCGCAAAGCAGCGAATAGACACAGTGCGCGCTCTGCATGGCTGCGGGCCAGAAAGGAGCCTGTTTATCTGGGAGCGCCGCGCTTGATCGGGACGTTTTGGGGTCGTCCCTTCACCCCCAACACACACACATACACACACACTCCCTAACTGGAGACATTACAGGCTCGGGACAGAGCATGCTTTCACCAAATAAATGAATAAATGGAAATAAAAGAGAGAGACAAAAGAAATCGGTAAATACATGAACACATGAGGTGAATGTCTAATGTACCAAACCCAGAAACGTGGATCTGTATGTGAGGAGATAAAGATGGCGGTGGTGATGCCTTCAAGAGATTTCTCTCTTTTGTTTTTTTTTTGTTTTTTTTTCCTTAAAAGGACCCAGATTAGATCTGTGCCTCTCCTGGAACCTGATGCATGGAAATCAATTTTTTTTATTTTATTTTATTTTTTTTTGGAAAAGCACACATAACTGGGGCGGATTTTTTGTTTTTATTCGCTTAAAAGTCTGCATCTTTACGCAATGCACTTCCACGACTTCCTGCGCCATGCACGGACAAGTGGTTCAGCGAGAGAGAGGGAGGGAGAGAGAGGAGATAAGAGAAAAGAAAAAAAAATAGACTCGCCAATCGAGACTATATTTAAATGCACATTAGCTTTGAATGCACTGCTGTTCATTATTTTTTCCCGTCTTTATCTCTGAGCTGTAAATATTTTGTACAGTCGAAAGAAAAAAAAAAACTTTACAAAGTGCTGCGAATGAAGTGACGCTCGAAAGGCGTTTCTTTGCAAATGTAAAAAAAAACTGCACTCAAATCGGTAAAAACAAAATGTCTATTCTATAATTATTTTATTATTTGTGATGTACAGAGTTCCATGATAATCATATATTTCTTACGTCGTAAAAAAAGAGTAATTTAAGGTGTCTTCGATATTTTTTGCAGAGGGTGGAAAGTACTATTATTAATATCTATCTACCTCATTATTGCATATAGGATCTGAGTTTGAGGTGCATTCAGTTAAAGTGTAAAGAGCTTTTACAATGATATATATATGAGATCATTTATATAACATATTACTGGATACTACTCCACACCATTACTGTACAAATAAAATTCCAAACAAAGTCTGGAATTTCTGGTGAGTTCTGCCTGTTTGTGTTTATTTCACTCGGTTTATGTTCGGAAATTTGGACATTTAATGAGTGTCTTAAAAACCGTGTTCACATTTTGTCACGATGCGACCACACACTTCATTGGGTTTTATTTGGGGGGGTTTATGAGACAGACCGACACAAACCAAAGTCGCAAATGAAATTAGTGCGTGTTTTCTCGCATATTTCACAAATGATAAAACTGAAAAGTTTGGCATCGAGCCCCACATGAGTCAGTACCCACGTAGAATGACTTTTGCAGCCGAAAGTCCTTTGGGATATGTTTCGCCCGGCTTCATAACATCTAAGGCCCATTGTTTTCTGAAAGCTCCTCCGGCTCTAGTTTGGATGCAGATTCTTCATTGGATTTCAGTTTGCATCGATGTTGGGGGGGATTATAAACACTGGCAGGGTTTTATGTTAATCGTTAGAGAAAGGGCGGGAGGTGGGGGCCACAGCACAGTCTAACAATATAATTTACCTGTAAATTGTGCATTGAACAAGTTTTCTATCGCTTTCATGCGTGTGAGGTCAACAGCTAAATCTCACTTTTTCCTCAAGATGTTTTTGCGCTTGGATGAGGTGGATTTCATCGAAATAGATGCATTTTGCAAAACTGCAGTGGAAACACTTGTTTCGCATCCGGGTGTAACTACTAGAGGTGGGCGATACTGGGAGTTTTGGCATCGATCCAATACCAAGTAAATGCAGGGCCAGTATCGCCGATAACAATATGGCGATACGTGACAAGAAAATACTTGAGAGGGCTGACAAACCACAATACAACAAAATAAACACTCCACAACAAATAAATAGTTTTAAACTTATTCTGTTTTTCCAAGTTGAACAATACAAGAAAGTAATGCAAAGAATAAGGAATGTATTCCCTTCAGCGCACTTCTGGTTTTAAACAAAATAAAATCAATAAGTGAAAATTAAATTAAGAAAGAATACGTTCTCCCCTGTTTGGCTGGTGCCGCTGAACCACATCACCATAGAGGGCTGAGCAGCGCTGCTCTGTGCGGTGTGACGGCATCGTGTTGCTCATACAGGCACAGAGGAGACTTTGATGAATCAGTCTGTGCAGGCTTGAGAGAGAAAAAGCTTGAGTATCGATCTTTTTACATGAGTATCATTCAATATCAATACCAGCACTGGTATCAACATTATTGATATTAGGATTGATCCCCCCACCACTAGTTACTACTGTTGAAAACCAGGAAGAAGACAAAAGGAAGTAGTAGGAGGATGATGTTGGGTTGTTTTTTGTTTTGTTTTGTTTCGTTTCGGACAATGTGCACTTGACTCCACCATACCTCTCACAGCATTTCACAGCTCATATAAAAAAAGTTGTGTGTCGTTCAAATGTGTTGAATCCATAACTCCTCTGTAAAATGGCAGACTACAATTTCCCCAAAACGCTGCATAAGTAGCCGCTCCCAAGTATAAGGGCGCTTGTCTCCTCTGTTGGCTGATAGATGATGAAAGAATTATGATTATATGTCATGTAACTGTTTACTGCCGTTGCTGTCAGGGTGCCATTCATGCAAGAGTCACGTGAATATTTTGATGTAAATCCACTGTAGTTCTGGTTGATATTTAGGGTCTTCCTCCTTCTGAAAGCTAAAGCTCTTGCTCTGGTCTCAGGTTTTTAAGAAGCAGCGAACAGGTTTTCTTCCAGGAATCCTCTGTATTTAGCTCCCTCTATCTTCCCATCAAACTAGTCCATCTTCCCTATAGACGCTGGAGAAAAACTATCCCCACAGAACCATAAGGCCATGACCATGTTTCACCTTAGGGATGGTGTATTCACATGACGTGGAGTACTATTCTCACCCATTTTAAATGTTATCAGCTCATAAATGACAAATAAACAAACAAAAAAGCCCTCCAGTTTCAGATGCTGGTTAAGCTGCATATTATCAGTGATAAGAATGGTAGATAAGTACCTACACTAGGAGGTACTGGAGACTCAGTCTGAAACTAATGTATGGGACTGATAACTGCTTATCGTGGCCATTTAATGTGCTGATAACATTGGAAGCGGGTGCTATTCTTGCTATGTTTGCATGCAGGACAAACATGTTTAAACTCTTCATCTTCTTCCACATGTTCTCCTTCATGCACATATTTGCTGTGTCGGCTTAGACGGTGCAAAAATGAACTGCTTTTAAACTTCTCCACAACTTTCTGTTTGCCACAATCCTTCCTGATGCCACACTGATCCAGATTTGGATTTGGAAGAGGTTAAATTCTAATTCTAATGGAACACGTTAAAGTTGTGATCTTGTAATGTGGCAAAACATGTGGAAAAGTTCAAAGGGTATGAATACTTTTGCAAGGCACCGAGACAAACTAGCAGATTGATTCCTAAAAGAGAACGATCAGCTTGGAGAGTCCATTCTCACTGCAACACTAAGTTATTTCATTTTTATGTAGTTTCTAGTGCAAATCTCTTAGCACACTTGTGATGAGGCAGAACTAAAGGTGACCCTTTATTTGACAGGGTGTGCATAAGACTGACAGGACACTGTCATAAATATGTCTTAACACGTGTCGTGAACATGAAAAAGTCTTTATGGATGTTTATGACTGTTGTCATTTGGTAAATAATGACACTTTTAATACGAAGTTGCATTAAAAGTCAATTTAAAGTACCATCTTTACATTAAAGTGTCATTATTAACCAAATAACGACTCAGCTGTTGCACAGTTCCACCAGGTGTTTGCTAATTGTTGCTGACTAGTCTGCAGGAGCTGAGTAGTGTTGTGGTGGAGGGTTGAGCTGTGAGACAGAAGCTACTCCTCGGAGGCGGCGCTAGGTTCAACTGCAAGTTTTGCACAGTCGAATGGTTGCCATGGAGATTAAAGGATTTCTACAAGAAGCATGAAAGAATCAAAGCAACACTCAATGTTATTATTTTTTATGGGGAAATAACATTTTTTCATTCATAACATGGAAATAATATTTTGCTATAAGGAAAACAGTCTGCCAGTGAATCAAGTACATTATATCTATATTCAAGAATAACTGACTTAAATCAAGCTCCTATTTCTTGCGGAAGAGTGACTTTTTCAAGTTAGTTTTGTCTTATTTATCATTATTTGCGCTATACCAGTGTTTTCGCAGCGCTCCTGAAAAGATCCACATTGGGTCTGCAATGGGATCAGACTCATCCTGTTGTTACCCCTTAGCAAACGCGTTCTCATCATGGCCCAACAAATGCAATTACGTAGCGCCTGGATGTTTCAGGGACCACGGCCGCGGAAACCGCATCAACATATGGTGTCCATCGAACCCGGGGAGGAAATCCACAGGACTGACTGTCACTGATACGGCACCGAGTGCAGGAACCCTGACTCTTTCCCAATGAATCCAACCCGGCTGGGTCAAGTTTACTTAACACTTTAATGCTTCCCAATCTGGAGATGAAAACAACACAAAACTGGGGGGTTGTGAGGGGAAGGGGTGTTTGGGGTTGGGAACAGGGGGAGGGGGAAAATCTCCCCATAAAAGCAGCGACCTTGGCCTGGAAGCAATTAGGAAATTGCTTTGATATGTTATATGCTGTCCAGACTCTTGTACAGTATCATGTCACTGCTCACGTGTTTGTTAGAGGAGGGGAGGCGGAGGATGCTCAGTGCACTCTTTAGTAATCCGTTCATATAGCAACCCTCACCTTCCAACAGATTCCTGTCAGAGTCAGAGGAACGGAGGAATCCTCAGCCGACTCTTCATTATTCACCAATGTGGCGATGTCACCTTAGCAGGTTTCCAAGCAAGCGGCAAACAAGTGGAGTAAACCTTTGCTTTAAGATTTATTTTTATTTGACAAGCTCGCCGCTCTGCTGGGCACTGGCCTGGAGGTGAGGCTGCGTGTTAAGGGAATAATTAAATGGTGATGAAAGGGAAAGGAATGCTTTGTTTACAGGCTTCAATCCCTCACTCTTAAGCTGAACGTTCCTATAAAGTTCTTCATCGTGGCTCCCTTATTGTCCCTCCGTACACACTGAGACAGAGTCAGGGAGAGAGAGAGGAGGCAAAAAAAAGTGTTGTGTTTATTTGAAACGCGGCCCTAATATATATTAGTCCAGAGTTAACCAAAACTGGCAACGAGAGGGGTCCTTTTCATCAGGAGCAGGGAGAAATGTGGGGAATGTATAACACAAATAGTCTTGACACCCCACATCTGTGTGTGGAGGCTGCTCTTCAC